TTGGTATAGTTTTTATTTTTTAAAATACATTTTAGTCTCGTCTTTCATCATCCACGATATTGCATGTTGATAAAGTCACAGTTATCGTTTATTGGCCTTATTGTCGTCTCGTGTCTAAATGCTTCTACAGCCAAGACTCTTCCTCAGAGAGGCATGGATACGTAGCCGCAGCAGTGAAGCCTGACACAATACAACAACAAAGACTGGAATTCCCGACCACAGCTGGACAACAATTACACACAATCGGAGCAGTGACAGCTGGTCAGCTCACACTGGTGGAACCCATTCACACAGAGAGACAGACAGGCTCATACCTCGTAGGCTAAAGCAAACGTCCCCCAGTGATTGGCCAGTGATGTTTTCGCCTGAATGTCCATGTGAATCTGAACAGCCTCTTCAGGGACCACATGCTGAGACTTCATGATTCCTCTAAGCAAAACAAAACATGTCATAATTGTACTTCAGTTAAAAACAGAGGAAAACACACATCTGCTTTTTACATTTATCCATTTAGCAGATGCTTTAATTCCAAGCAACAAAAGAGGACCACAAGTAATTCTTCAAGGAACCGACAATATTCATAATATGCAATGCAAGGTTTATTTGACCACTAGATTAGGAAGCAAACTGCTCTTTAAGGTCTTACCTGGGCAGGTAAGCTCCAATCGGGATGGCAGCCAGGTCAAACGGTCTGAAGCGTTTTCCAATCTCTTTAAATGCTGAACAGTATCCCGTATCCCCAGCAAAGAAGAAACGACAATGTTGGCCTACGATAGTCCAGCTTCCCCATAATGCTTTGTTGTCATCCACAGGCGTGCGTTTGCACCAGTGCTGTGCTGGCGTGCCCAGGAATGCGGCTCCCCACCGACCAGTCCATCTCTGTGACATTCTCACAGCCTGCCTTCTGCATCCATTCGGCTAACCCAAGAGACACAAACCAGCGCAAACCAGAACCAAAGCAAGCATTCAGTGCTGCCACAGAGTCTGCGTCGAGGTGATCGTAGTGTGTATGACTGATCACCACTGCGTCCAGACGAGGAAGCTGTTCTACGTTGCAAGGCGGGTCACGGTAACGCTTCGGGCCCATGAACGGGACTGGAGAGGCTCTCTGGCTGAACATGGGGTCAGTGGCATGACCCAGCCAGGTCGCTTGCACAGATGAGCCTCTCTGCCCACACTGATCTGGCCTCTGGATAAAATATGGCTCCAGAACCGGCAACTCACGTTCTAGAACCTGAGGACAGAAAACAGAAAACATTTTTTTCCCTCCTTTTTTTTAATTTTTACATTCAGTTTTAATAATGTGAATAATTTTAATTTACTTTTTTAAATGTTACAGATATTTAAATAAATTTTAATTATATACTTGATGTATTATAAAAATGCATTAATGAATATAAAATATAATAAACATTTAAATAAAATAACATCTTATATTTTTGTATACATAAATATTTGCTTTTATACAACTATTGATCATTCTAAATCCATAAATTATTATAAAATGTAATGTACATTTTCCTTTATATGAAATACATTTTTATATTCATAATTTATATTTATTTACTTTTTTTACACCTACTTATTAAAATTACAGATTTATAAATTTATATAAAATTGTATAAATGTAATGTTTTATAAAATGATTACATTTTATATTTATAAATGTAATAATTGTATATTACGCAATTGTATACATTTATACATTTAGAATGATTATGAATAGGTATAAAAAACATTCAATGTGTAATCATACATATATAAATATAAAATGTAATCATTCTATATAAAGTAAATGCATATTACATTTTACATGTATGAATGTATAATTATAAATAGGTATAAAAAATAGATACAAATTTAGATAAAATGCAAATATATAATGTATAAATATACATTTTAATATAAAACTGAACATCAGTATATACATAAATATATAATTTAATGTAACAGTATACTAAAAAAAACTATTCTTTTGGAAAAACTATTTCACCATTCAAAGCAAAATAATTTGTAACATATAATGAAATGTTATATGCCATTCAGCTGCCATTTTTCTACTTTAAATCCTCTAAACACTAGACTTCTAGAGACAAACCGAATAATCAAATCTTATTTGTTAATGTTTACAGTATTCATGTTTTAAAGCTCAGGAAAATCCTTTCTGACATTTCAAATTCCACACTGCTGATTCATTGCATTCCCAATGAGTGTGTGTGTGTGTGTGTGTGTGTGT